TTTTCGCAAAAATAATCTACATTTAAAAGAGATATAGGTCTATAATTCTTTGGTAAGGTAAGATCTTGATCTTCTTTTGGAATTAAAGATATAAAAGCTCTACCCCATGACGGGGGAATCTCTGAGCCCTATAATATATTGTTAAAAAGTTCTCTTAAAGGTTGAACCATCTCTTGTATCAAAGTTTTATAATAAATAGATGTCAGGCCGTCCGTGCCCAGTGCTTTACCTAATTTTAATTCTTTAATCACCATCTCAATTTCATCATTAGTAATCAGACCATTAATTTCTTGTTTCTGATCTTCTGTTAATTTCGGGAAGTTGGCTTGATTTAAGTAGTTATCTATATCTAAAACCTGCACTTTAGTACTCTTGTATAATTTTTGGTAGTAATCTAAAAAAGATTTCTTAATCAACTCCTTCTGATATACCAATTTACCATTATAATTTATTTTATCTATAATTCTCTGTCTCTGTTTCTTTCTCAATTGATATGCCAACCATCTCCCTGGTTTGTTAGCATTACAAAATGTATTTTGTTTCATATACAATAAATTAGTTGCAGTTTGGTCAGCCATCAGCATGTTAAATTGTGATTTAAGCAATTTTATAGATTCTTTAACCTTCTCATCTGTAGGATTTAAAATCAAAGTTTTTTCTTTTAATTTAATCTCATTTTCCAATTCCTTACGTTTCTGAATCTGCTTCTGTCTATAAGCATTATTCATTTGTATCAAAATCCCTCACATAAAGGCTTTACCTGCATCCCATACCATAGACATTGAAATTCCCTTATGCATATTTAAAACAAAATAATCCTTTAAATGCTCCTTTAATTTTTGGACATTCTTTTCTTGTCTAAATAAGTTTTCATTCATCCTCCACGATCTCCTCTCCTCTTTTTCATCGACCAACTCCATCCAAACTGGACTATGATCCGTCAATGTCCTAGGAAAAATTTTAACGTTCTTTACCCTAAAAAATAAATCAGTTGTGATCAAGAAGAAGTCAATCCTTGAAAAAGATTGGTGTCTGTCTGAAAAGAAGGTGAAATCTCTCTCCTCCTGATTGCGTTCACGCCAATAATCTCTCAGCTCCCAATCCTCTTTCAACTCAAAGAAGGCTTTAGGTAATTTAGCCTGTTTGAAAGAGATAGAAGATCCTTTTCTGTCTCTTTGAGTATCTAACACACCATTCCAGTCTCCCATTAATATAACAGATCTGTAATCCAACAAAGTTAATTTCTGATGTAGCAGTCTATAAAATTGTTCCTGTTGTTGATTTGGTGCGTACAATCCCACTATAAGTACTTTCTTACCATATAAAACAATTTCAATCATAACATATCTCCCTTGAAGATCAGATTCTACCAAACAGGCTGATAAATTTTGCTTAACATAAATAACTATTCCCCCTTTTTTCCCAGGGGCAGAAGATACAAAATGAGATCCCAAGCGAGCATTAACTAGCTATTTTTGATCTTTAAGTGTAATATGTGTTTCCTGCAAGCAAATAATATCATTATTGTGTTGCTTTAAGTAATGAAAGATTTTCTTTCTCTTTTGAGGGGAGTTAAGGCCATTAGCATTCCAGGTCAGGAACTTTACCATCTCCCTTAACCAGAAGCCTGGAGAAGACTGCTTGAAGATCTGCCATTGAGGAATGTGCTGCAGAACTCTTGGGTCTTGCTCCTCCCACCGCCAATGAAACAATTTCTTGAAGAGAATTTTTAACTTCTTTCTTCTGTTGTTCCTTTTCCTTACGTCTGTGTGCTGCACGGGTCATTCTTTGCTCTTTGATCTTTGTTTGTCGCGACCACTCCAGCTGTAGCTTTCCAGGAACCATCACACCTAATCCTTCAGACTGCTGTTCTACCTCTTTATCATCCAAACCTTTCTGCATCATAGATGATGGTGAGCCTGCTCCCAGGACCTAACTATAAAACTCCTTTGCTTTAGTGACTGTATTGAGTCTATAACGTGTTCCCGCATGGCTCACAACAATACCCATCGGAATCTCCCATGTCCAGTCTTTTCTTAAAGACTTCCAGTGTTGGAGCATTCACAGATTCTGGAGGCAGGTTGTTCCATTGGTTAATTTTTCTGTCAAGAAGTTTTTCCTTAGTTCTAGGTTGGTTCTCTCCTTGATTAGTTTCCATCTGTTGCTTCTTGTCCTGCCTCAAGTGCTTTGGAGAATAGCTTGACTCCCTCTTCTTTGTGGCAGCCCCTGAGATATTGGAACACTGCTATCATGTCAGCCCTCATCCTTCTCTTCATTAAACTAGACATGCCCAATTCCAGCAACCGTTCCTCATATGTTTTAGCCTCCAGTCCCCTAATCATCTTTGTTGCTCTTCTCTGTACTCTTTCTAGGATCTCAGCATCTTTTTTACATTGTGGTGACCAAAACTGGATGTAAAGAGGTATTAATACTTCACGTGATCTTGATTCTATCCCTCTGTTAATACAGCCCAGCACTGAGCTATGAGGGAATGAGAATGTAATCCTCTCCCCTCACTTTCGGAGGTTTTCTGCTTTGGAGATTTTTCCCAGGGACTTAGTTGCAAAATAAGGGAGAGAAGATCAAGTACTCTCACCAATTCCAAGCACACTGTTCACCACTGTTCTTGTTAATGCTCTTGGACTTCTCGGCTGCAGGTAGCTTGGGCTGGCAAGAGGCTAGTTTTTCTCCTGTCGGGTTCAGAAGGATTTCCCCAGATCAAACGAAGCAATTGCTGATGCTTTGGGATCAATGGGGCACCCCTCCTTCATGATCATCTCTTTGGGGTGACTTCAGACCCATCTAGGGTCCCCCTGGCAGGGCAAAACTAGCCCTGGAGAGCGGATGTCCACTCTCGTGTGGCCATGCGCTACGGGTGCAAAGCTGGAAGTCTCAGTTTATTATCAAATACACATATATAAGATACTGCTATTAATTATTTCATCTTCCATGTGTTTTGATGGTTATAGTGAGGGATTACTGCAAAGATGCTGCCTGCCCTTTCAGATCACAACTTTGCATATACACTTTTTAAATGTTCTGCTTATTCCTCTTTCAGTATTTTATAAATAGCTGCACTGAAGATTCAGAACTAGAATTAGAACTAAAACTCAGCTTTTGGCAGTGATGACTAAAATCTATAACCATTTTCACACATGCATACACCTTTCTCTGCTTAGCAATTCCAAGTATGGATAGCTCTATAAATATAAAGAAAATCAAAGTGTCTCATATATGGCACCCAATAAAATATGAGTACTTTCTTTCCTTCTCCTTGAGGAAACAAGAAAATAATCAATATCCTCTTCTTCTACTAAGAGGCACCTGATATAATGGTTTACATGAGATCTCCTCTCCCTTTTACTTATAGCCTAAATGAACAATTATGATTCCTTTGTAATGGAAATTCCATTAAAAAGAACCTGGAACTGAGGGAAGAAAAAAAAATACTTTCTGACTTGTAAATAAATTCATATAAGGACAATCAATAAGTGAAAAAGTATATTATAGGAGGTTGGTTAATAATTGTTATGTAATTTCAATTAATCTGTTGATAATACATTTTCTTTTCAACTTTGCCTGTATTTGTTTTATTTGTGCTCTATTTCCTGAATTAACTTGGGAATATCTAAGTATTTTTTCTTGGACAGAATCCATAAATTGTACCAAGCCATGATTTTTTTAACCATGTTTTATTAAAGCTACCTTATGCTTGTATATATTATAAGAAAAATAATAATATATACTTAGGCCAAACATACAGGGAACTCTTACAAAGAAATATAAAGTTTATTTCAACAAGCCAATCTATAAATTCATTGCATGACAGAGGGCATGGCATGATCCATTCTACCTCAGCCTATCACATGACATACTGTATCTTTGTTCAAGCACCAGTAATTCCAATAGAATGCCTACAAGAGATTTGCTGACTCAACATTGCTCAAAGTCATTCTTGTTCCTGAAATAAATATACTAGAATTAAATTCAATTCGCTAAAAAAAACTCTACTCACCAGCAGTTTCAAGAAAAATCTATTGACTTATCTATGTAGCCATGCCTAATTTTCGCCAAAATATATCTAAGTCAGCTTTGCAAAGTAACAAAGTAATGTATATATTTCAGATTTCTTTTTCAATAGCTAAGCTCCGTGATGCTCCAGACTAATTCCAGACTAAGTTTTTTTTAAGAAGGTGGTAGGCCATAAAACAAATTATCACTTTCTAGCATAATCTGCTTTTTCATGAATGCTTCTGACCTCACATAAACCAGACATCTTTAGATTTCAATAATTGCTGCCTAGTGTTTTATATAAATGTGATTCCCATGATCAGAAAAAAAGACAAAGCCGTAGGCAGCATCATATAATAATACAGAGCAGGATTCTGATAAACAGATTTTGAGCCTAGTTCCATTTATTATGGAAGACAGTTTGTGAACAAGCAGATGTCTTCTCATTAGAAGTGTTTATAAAGGGACCTCTAAATGTTTGCCAAATTCCAATTTATTTACTGATCAAAAACATTGTCTATATGTGGTGTAGATAGTGTACTACCAGGGAGAATATAATCACAAGTTCAAGGGAGAAAGATATTTCTTGGTCCAATCTCTAGTGTGATGCAACGAATATACATACAGAGGGTCCTCACTACTAAGCTATCCAACGTCTACCTCCAGAAAAAGTTATTATAATATAAACAACTCTTAAAAATCTGTGAATGAATGACAAAGCTAAATATGGTTTTCAGGAAAATAGTTCAGAAAAAAAGTTATATTCTGTAAAAAAAAAAAAAAAAGGCAAGGTCTGTTTAATTACCAATCTTTTCTTTGCTCTTAGATGTCCTGTTGAGTGACTTCACACACAGTTCCAGACAGCCCGACTTCAGTGGAATGATTAGAATCATTTTGCAATTGGTACATTATTGTTGAATCTATTATAGACACAAAGCTATGCATGCATTATTGATAACTTTTAAAAAGCTTTGTTTGTAAAACCTCACCATGAGATGATCGTTTACAATCATTAGCTCAACATATTTCGTTTCATCTTCAACTCTAGGTAGATTCAGTTGGACCTACAGAAAGAGGAAGATGCTGTATATATTTTAAATGGTCAGAAACAAACACCTATTTCTAGACTAATTATTCTGAGCTGATTTCTTTCCTTCATTGCACTTAAAAATAATTCATGATACCAAATTAGCAAAAGAATATGTCAGAATTTCTAACATTTGAATGACATAAAAGGTTTAGCAAATCTAGTTGTAAGGTAAGTTCAGAAAAAATATAACAGATAGATTTTATATTGCTGTATTGACCATGAGCAGCATATAGATTTAAGAAATAAATAAATTTAATAAGTAATTTTCCAAATATAGTTTCATAGATTCCATCATTTAAAGGAACTTCATTAGTGAATTCCTCTATGTATTAAATGTCCGCAAAGCCAAATATTTTATTAATGGGTGATATTTATATTTGTGTTTTTCTCATTTTAAAAATATACATCTCAATATGCCTCTTCTGTTTGATGTTATTTTCTCAAAGGTTTTATATATTTACTCTATAATATCCAGAAGACTAGACCCAAATGCAGGGCACAGGAATACCTAAGAATATTCTGTGCTTGGTTCAATATTTAGGCAAATAGTATCAATTGATACTCATTTGCCTTTCTAATTCTTTTTAAAAATGCAAATGTTCAAAATCTCATAAAACAGTCAACCTTGAAATTGCTCTAATCTTGACACTTTGGGCGTTTATCTTTTTTAATAAGCATTTTGTTTTTATCTTCTTAATATATATTATTTCTTTATATTTTAGTTCCTGCAAAATATATTAGGTGAAATTGTATGGTAATACCCATTCCCTGGACTGATTATAGACCCACAGCTTAGTCCAGTGGTGGCGAACCTATGGCACGGGTGCCAGAGGAGGCTCTCAGAGCCCTCTCTGTGGGCACGCACACCGTCGCCCCAGTCCTAGACCCTCAGCTGGGTTTTATAAAACCTTTTCGCTTTAGGCCTCTGCCTCCATGTGCAAAAAAAAAAAGGTTCAATCAATCAATCAATTTCAACTTTTTGCAGGAAAAAAAAATCTTGCAAAGTTGGAATTGATTGATTGAACTTTTTAGTCCCGTCCAGTCTGCCATTACCACCGCAGCCACGCCCACCCAATGGGCTGTACCCACCCAATGGGCCATGCCCACCCAATGGGCCACACCCACCCGGCACTTGACAATGCATAAGTGGGTTTTGGGTTGCAGTTTGGGCACTCAGTCTCTAAAAGGTTCGCCATTACTGGCTTAGTCAGTTTCCAGTCATAATATTAACAGTCATCAAAATGAAGATAAAATATCTCTAGCATGATATTGAAGAGATGTGATCACTAAACCACTAAGAGAAAATTCTAAATAGCAAAGATTCAGTTTGATTGTCTTGAACAACCACTGGTCAAATAATGTAGAAAATCTTTTTTGTGGTTGTTGGTTTTGCAACAGGCAAAATGGAAGAGGACGTTTGCCTTCGTCGTAGCCTCTGATGAGGCTTTCTCTTTGGATTGTTATCTATTTCAAAGAACATTGTATGTTCAAAATTGTATGTTCTCAGCATGAAAAAAAGGGCTTATAATGGAGATGTGGGAAAGCAGGCAAAATCATGTAGCCTGAATTTACTGAAAAAAGGAAGCCTGGATAATATGATTTTTAAAAGATTGCAAATAGAAATAACAGGATAAGAGGGCGTACCTGCCTTTTTCTTCTTTTATATTTTGATTTCACACCAAATTTCTGTGATGTAGTATTCATGTGCCAGAATTCTGAATGGGACACACATTACAATCAGTTTAATGACAGTTAAGCAAGACAAGCACTTTCAGCAGCAAAATGAACAAAGCCCAAGGTTGAATAAATACCTATTTTAAATATTTTAAAAATTACTCAGAACTCAAGCAAATATACAGTCATATTATCTATTGCCACAAAAACAACATATTGAAAATTCATCAGTGCAAGGGTTGGCATTTTCAACAAAAAACTGTTTTGTAGCTGCTCACCCTTAACAAGTTCATGAATTTGATGAGTGGTTTATAGAGCGATGAAAGCTGAAGCAAAATAGTTTTTAAGGTATATTGAAACACTTCAAATTAAATTAAAGGAAAGATAAAGGAAAGGAAAGAAACATAAAGTAAATATATGCCCTCAGAATAGTTTTTTGCATAATGTATTCTTGGACTCAGATATTAGCCCTGGAAAGGCAAGGTACTTTTTTCATTAACAAATGAGAGTCTTTTTATATATAAACTTCTTGACCTGAGCTGCCATAAAATAATCTTAGAATGAATAGGAGCCACACAGGATATTCAACAAAGAAGTTATGAAAATCCAAGCTAAAATGTAATCATCAGGCATTTACAAGCCAATAAAAATGCTGTTTAATAAGCACATACCGTATTTTCCGGTGTATAAGACGACTTTCTAGAGCCTGAAAATCTTCTCAAAAGTCAGGGGTCGTCTTATACACAGGAATATACGGGTAGCTGTTCTCTGAATTTAAAACCAATCTGCCCCCTAGTGGCCAGCCCTATTTTTTTTACAGAAATAAGCACTGACAGGACAAAGCTTTCTAGCAGCAAAGGAGCTCCTATTGTGCTCATCTATAAACAGAAATTCAATATTGTACTGTATTTTCTGGCGTATAAGATGACTTTCTAAACCCTGAAAATCTTCTCAAAAGTTGGGGGTCGTCTTATACGCCCAGTCGCCTTATACGCCGGAATATACGGTAGTTTATATAGTGGTGATGTCAAATGATACTATAAAACATGAGAAACTGTTTGAAGCAAGAACCTTGATCAAACCTTGATATTAACCTTGTTCAGGCATTTAGAAATCAGTAACAGCAAATTCATCTTTGGCAAGAATAAGAATTTTGCTACCACTACATGCATGCACACATACCACATACCCTCTATGTGTAGGATGCAAACATAGTGAAGTATCTCTATCTATAAAGGCTCTCAATGCAATTTAGGATCCTGATTTCCAAGGTTCTAACTTTCATGGAGAGCCTCTTAGAGAGAAGAGTGGTTCCAGTTTTCCCATGCTCTGTTTTTAAGAAAACTGGAATAGAGAAAGGTGAAGAAAAAATAAGACTTGCTTATTACAAGGAAAGGGAAAGTCTTTTTCATAAATTAAAAGTTTTTGCTAGAACTGATTAAAATCTTACAGAACTAAAAATATTATCTTGAAATGTTCAGCATTTGGGTAGGAACTGACTTTTAACAAGCTAGTTTTTATTTCAGTTCCATTGCTTAGTCTCTTTTGACGTATAAAGACTCTTCTTTAGAAAGCCAATCATTGAATTACTATTGCAATATCAAAAGGTTTACAAATCTTTTTTGGAAAATGTGTTTTTTCTCATTTTCTAATCCTATGCTGAGAGGCTTTTATATTATGAATAACAACCAAATAAAAATAACCAGCAATAATTTAACTACAAAATAAATGCAACAATAAGAGTATTAAAAATATACCAGATGGAAGATAATCCAAAGGAAATTCAAATAATCTGGATTTGTATACAGAGTGAAAATGGAATTCCTCCTAAAATAAAAGATATCTAAATTTAGTAAATCATTCTAAAGCTGATACTTTAGCTAGAACTATACATTTTTAAATCCAAAAAATTGCAGATCATAGTATTCTGAATATATGCACATAGAGACATGTAAGCACCAATTCACATACACACTTGCATACTCATATACATATATGCAAAAATATACATTGAAGAATGTTTTTCTAAGCTCATTTTTATTTCTGAACTCTTACAACTAGAATCTATTTAAGAAGTGCAAGTCATATATTAACTACTTAAAGAATAATCTGAGGATAATTGTATTTTAATTCTACAGTACTTACTTGAGATGTACAATTTTCTTCTGGCTCAATAAGATATGTGTGATTCCCATCATAGAACATTCCACTGTTAAAAAAAAGGCAGCTATCTGACTTGCATGTTATAATTTAACTAAGTACATATAATAATACTGCATGTAAAAGAGAATCTCACATAGAAATGGGCTACTATGGCCCCATAATTTTTCATCCTTCAACTAGCTCAGGAAGCTAATTTTAGTTGTTTCCTGAGATAATCCCTGAGGATTTTCCTCTCTTCTCCTCTTATGTACAGCACAACTATTTACTACCTTCCATGCTATTATATGATATACTTGTTGCAGAATTTTTCACACAGAAAAGATCCTGTCAAACAGTTATTGACCATAGTAATTTTGAGTTTTAGCTCTTTATACTGGCAGCGGTAATGCCTATGGTTTGCCACCAGTGGGCAGTAAAAACTGAAACTGGTAAAAATGTCTTAAGAGTATTTATTTTAGGATAATTAGGATCTTGTTTTAAAGACATGTTTATTAACTACAACAGTTTCAACAAACGTTTCTTTGTAACTATCTGTAGTTTGCAAGTTTATGATAATATATCTGTTGCAAGTCAACAAAATACGATGCCAATGGTTTGGAAACTAATTTTAGTAGTGTATACAAACGAGATAAACAATGTTTCACATCTCGACAATATATTTTCTATGTATTATCCTTGTACAGAAGAACAGTATACAGAAAGTATATTGTCACATACCAGAGGTTACATTTGAGAATTCTTGCACTAAACCTTTGTTTTTAAATGATTTATCTTGAATATAGAGTGCCATTTTTAAAATATTAGCTTGTCTTTCAGATCAAATATGTGCATAATGCTATCCCACATGTAGTAACAATGGTTGCTAAATCCACTGTAGTTAAATTTTAGAGTGATAGCCCATTGGTGATGAAAGCAATTTGACAGTGGAGCCAATTATTTTATAGGAATTTTAAGCTCTCCCAAACTGGCTGGGTTCAAGCAGAGCCCAACTTGCAATTTGCAAGAGATATTCTGTCCTGGGAATTCCTATATTTGTAATGTAATCAGAATAGAGCTAGAAGGGACCTTGGAGGTCTTCTAGTCCAACCTCCTGCTCAAGCAGGAGGCCTTATTCAGTTTGAGACAAGTGGCTGTCCAATCTTTTCTTTAAAACCTCCAGTGATAAAGAACCCACAACTTCTATATAGGCAAGCTATTACACTGGTTAATTGTCCTCACTGTTTTCTCCTAGATTAGTTTACATCCATTGTTTCTTGTCTTGCTTTCTGGTGTTTTGAAAAAATAAGTTGATCTCCTCTTCTTTGGGCAGCCCCTCAACCACTGGAATACTGCTATCATATCACCCTTCATCCTTATTTTCTCTAAATCAGAGGCCTCCAACCTGTTTTTCCGTGGACCAGAGGTGGCATGGTTTCACATGCTGCCTGCATCCCGGAGATGGGGCTTTGCTTGTTTGCGCACACTGGTAGCTGCCATGTCATAGACTAGTGCCGGTCCATGGACCAGAGGTTGGGGATCCCTGATCTAGACTAGCCATACTCAGTTCCTGCAATCATTCTTCATATGTTTTAGTCAATAGGCTTTTAATCATCCTAGTTGCTCTTCTTTGCATTCTTTCCAAAGTCTCAACATCTTTTTTGTAATGTAGTGACCAAAACTGGATGCAGTATTCCAGGTGTGGTCTTACTAAGGATTTATAAAGTGGTACAAATACTTCACATGATTTTGATTTTATAGCTCTGTTTATACAGAGAATGATTGTATTAGCTTTTTCGACTGCTGCTGCACACTGCTGACTCATATTTAAGTGATCATCCACTAGCACTCTAAGGTCGCTCTCACAGTTACTGTTTTTGAGCCAGATTTCACCTAATCTGTACTTGTATCTTTGATTTTTCCTGCCTAAGTATAAAACCTTGCTTTTCTCCACATTAAATTTAATTTTGTTGGATAGAGCCCATTGTTCAAGTCTGTCAAGATCTTTTTGGATCCTGAGCTTGTCTTCTGGGGTGTTGGCTATTCCTGCCAGCTTAGTATCATCTGAAAACTTGATGTCTATTCTCTCCTCTGTCATTTATGAAGATACCGAAGAGTATTAAGCCTAAGAGGGAATCGTGTGGTACGCACTCCTTTCTTCTCTCCATGTAGGTTTTGTATCATTAAGAACTATTCATTGAATAGGGTTTGTTACAAATCCATATCCCACATTTTTTTAGCTTACCAAGAGGTAGATTGTGGTCTACTTTGTCGAATGTCTTACTGAAATCTAAGTATACTATGTCCATAGCATTTTGCTGGACTATTAATTTAGTCAAAGAATGAAATAAGATTGATTTGGCATGATCTGTTTTTAACAAATCCATTCTGGCTTCTAGTTATAACATTATTTGTTTCTAGACGTTCACAGATCTATTTTTTTATTATCTTTTCCAGTATCTTCCCGGATATTGATGTTAGGCTGATTGATCTGTAGTTTTCTTGGTCTGTTTTTTTTCCTATTTTGAAGATGGGAACCACATCAACTATTTTCCAATCCTCAGATAGTTCCCCAGTGATCCGGGATTTTTGAAAGATATGGTACAATGTTTCTGAGATAACATCTACCAGCTCCTTCAGAACTCTGGGATATAATCTGTCAGGTCCCGGTGATTTATATTCATCATGCTGTCAAAGATCTATATTGTGGTAGGAGTGAAAAAGAGCATAGTAGTCCTATCCTTTTTCAGTTTTTGTGCTGTCTAAACATCAACACCTCTGGATTTGATAAAGTCCAGAAAGTCAAATGTTTCCTGCATAACAAGAATGAGGTTCAGCTCCATGCTTGAGTATTCCAAGTAGCACAGGCTATAAGTAAAAGAAGAAATTACAGATAGTGCTTGGTTTATAATCGCAATTGGGACTAGAATTGCCATCACTAAACAATATAGTAATTGTTGTGATTCCTCGCCAGCCAGTGGATCTGGCAGCTGAGTCTGAGCAATCAGATGAGGAGGAGGGGCCTGGAGTGACATTAGAGTCAGAGGAAGGCTCTGAGGAGCTCCAAGACTTACAGTTGGACGAGGAGCCTGGCCCCTCTACTCGTGCTCAGGCTGAGACACAGCTGTGCTAGGAGCCTGAATTGGACAGTGATGAAGAACAGTTGGGACAAATCCCAGATGCACGAATGCGCAGGCAAGAGAAGCGAGTAGGACAGAGGAATGCAATGGGGCAACTCCAAAGGCAAAGGAGAAGGCATTAGGAAGCCAACGCCTTAATTGAATTAAGGGAATGTGTAGGAGATGCTGGTTGCCAAAGGCAACCGTTCGTGTTGAGGATCGAGTTTCTGTGGAGTGTGTTTGTTTGCCTTGAACATTGACTCAAGTCTGTGAGAATAAAAAGGGTTGGTTTTTTCTTGCGGTTCCTGCCTGTTTCATGGAAGAGGGGTTTCTCCTTGTGAGCATAACAAGGACTCACGTAGGCTGGGACAGAACAGTAATAAAGCAAGATATCATGAGACTGCACTGCTTCAAGCACTCCTGGTTTCCATTACTAAATGAATCATCATGGGTCATTAAGCAAGGATATCATATGGTTGCCATTTGCAACCTCCTAACTTCCCAATTCTCTTTGCTTATTAGAAACCAGCAAAGGTCATAAATGGTGACCACATGACCATAGAGAGACATTATGACAGTTGTAACTTTGAAAACCAGTTGTAAGTGCCACTTGTTCTGCATGGTCACATGTTTGAACAGTCACTGAATCAGTGGCCATAAATTGAGAACTACCTGTAGAGTTGTGAAGCCAACCTGGAGGACAACATCTGATCTCAGGAAGGTTTTCAGATTAGTGTGCACAGGTTCAGTATATTAGTAAAGTATTCATGAGGCAGTTCCTCTTAGGCGTACTTTATTGAATAACTTCTATCACTTTAATCTCACATAAAGCCACTTACATTCCCATATATAATGTTACTCTCATTTCACTTCAGATATTCCTTAAAAAGTTCAATATGAGCAAAACAGTAAAGTTACACAAATTTAGATTTAGAAGATTTACATTCTAACATTTCAGAAATTTAAAAACAGAAAAATAAGAAAAAATATCACTATGCTGTATTGTATTCTACAGATCAAAAACTTTTTGAAGAGCTGAAAATCAAAATCAAGATGAAAATTTAGAAAGTTTATTTATATAGCACCAATTTTTCGGAACATGTACACAGGTAAGTTACATCAGTGCACATAATTGCTTCCCCACTCATGTCTTCTTTTGCATTTACTGTAGATCATTTGGAGGACTGAATTTTTCTTGACCAAGTATTTTTAATACTTGGATTCTGACCTTGCACATATAACTGGTAAACTGATTAAATAATGTATGATACACATTAGGCTATGGCAGGTTTATATACTGCATTCTCAGTGGGATGGATTAAGGAATAACTAGCTCTTCATATATTCCCTGGAGACTACATTTGTTATTTTTAAAAAATCAATACCTGTCTGTAGAGTTGCAATGTTTTTTTTAAAAAAAATCAATGCATATTTTCCATCAAGGATCCTTTTAGGCAGATTTTTATTCATTTGCATGTACTTACTGTTTAATATAAATATATTATTTGTTTTGTTGCTGTTAGTTGTGAAGTCGTGTCCAACCCATCGTGACCCCATGGACAACATTCCTCCAGGCCTTCCTGTCCTCTACCATCTTCTAGAATCCATTTAAGCTCATGCTTCAGTGACTCCATCCAGCCACCTCATTCTCTGTCGTCCCCTTCTTCTATTGCCCTCAATCTTTCCCAGAATTAGGCCCTTCTCATTAGGTGGCCAAAGTACTTGAGTTTCAACTTCAGGATCTGGCCTTCTAATATGCCCTGCACGGCATAGCTCATAGCTTCATTGAGTTACGCAAGTCCCCGACAAGGCAGTAATCCATGAAGGAGATATTGTTTGTACCACCTGTTAATCTAATTACTGCTTTCTGATAGTTGTTAAAAGCTGAGTTCTAATTCCTTGTCTTGATTTTTCATAGAAACAGTTATTTAGTACATTTTTTCTATTTAATCTCAGCACTAATAGTAATATGGAAGTTTAAAGTATTGATATTTTTTCATAAGATCACATTTATATGAGTGTATTAGATAGATAGGCAGATTTCATTCTCTTTTGAAATTTAGTTTTTGTTGTTACAGATTTATATTTCTTTTTAAAAAAAGATTTTACATAAATTTTCATTACATACATACATGCATATCCATCTCTTTATTTCCTTTCAGTATATATATGTATGTATGTATGTATATAAACTTTATACAAAACATAGATAGGATAAGTAATGAACAAAAGAACAAAAGTCAAAAGATAAACAGAAATGAAAAGGAAATCTGAACCTATTTTATACCACAGCATTCATTATATTTCTCCATAACTTTCTACCCTTGCAAATATTTGCTTTTAACCTAATTTAAGTTATGCATTTGGCTTTCAAACTTTAAATTACTCATTGTAATATTTTTCAAATGTTAACAACCCCAATAACATATTTCTCAAGGCATTAACTTTTCTTTTACATATGTAAGTTTTACAATTCAATTTGAACTGGATATATTAGTTCGCTGCACATCATTTTTGACAAAAGGTTAATTAGTAAGGTCATCTTCACATTAGAGATCCTAGTTTGCACAGAATAACTCAGGATAAAAATGGACCTTGCTTGCATTTGTGATATACTACCTAAAATATTCCCAAATTGACTAGTCTTGTGTTTTACCATCAGCATGAATGCCACATGAAGCATGGAAACAAATAAAGCTAGCATTCAACTTTACTGTTTCTTTAAATTACTGAAAAGGAACAAGGACTAGAAAAGGGATAGATAGAATGATAGGTCTTTAGGCAGGAAACTAAAGAGCTAAAACTTTATTGTAAAAGAAAATCTTGAAGCCAAAACCTAAAAGAAATGCATTTTAAGTACTATTTTAGGGTTATACTCAGTTTATAGTATGAACTTAATGTGCAACAAGTGCGCAACCTGATATTAATACCTGGGGAGATTCTGGAAAAGATAATCAAGCAACAAATCTGTGAATACTTCAAGACAAAGTTATAACTAAAAGCCAACATGTATCAATCAATTTGACAATGTGACAAAATTAGTGGACCAGCAAAATGCTGTGGATGTAATTTCCTTGGACTTCAGTAAGGCATTTGATAAAGTAGACCATAACCTACTACTTGATAAGATAGAAAAATATAGGTTAGACCAGTGGTTTTCAACCTTTTTAATGCCGCGACCCCCAACCGGTCGTAAGTCGAGGACTACTCAACTGGTGCAGCACCGTTTGCAGAATGGGACTTTGGGCGGGCTCAGCAGGGCAGAGACAGCCTGGACAATTCCTATTGGCTTTTGAAAGCCAATAGAATTAGATTCTGTTCAAGAGAGTCTATTCTATTGGCTTTCAAAAGCCAATAGAATAAAAGGGAGTAGCACAGCTAAGGAAAAGGGAGAAAAAAATGGCGGACTGTGTTGTTTGGCGACTCCCGTGAAATGGTCATTCGACCCCAAATGGGGTCCCGACCCACAGGTTGAGAACCACTGGATTAGACAGTGTCACCACCAGATGGATTTGTAACTGACTGACCAACTGCACTCAACGTGTAGTCCTCAGTGGAACTGCATCTAATGGAGGGAAGCTTGCAGTTGGGTACTCCAAGGCTCTCTCTTAAGCCCAGTACTCTTCAACATCTTCATCAATGATTTAGACAAAGGGTTAGAAGGGGAACTCATCAAAATTGCAGATGATACCAAGCTGGCAGGAATAGCCAATACTCCAGAAGACAGACTCAGAAAGATCTCGACAGACTTGAACATTGAGCCCTATCTATCATCATCATCACCACCACAACAACAACAAAACCCAACAACAACAATAAAGTTGGAAGGGACCTTGGGGGTCATCTAGTCCAGCCCCCTGCTCAGGCAGGAAACCCTATACCATTTCAGATAAATGGCTGTCCATCTCTTCTTAAAAACTTCCAGTATTGGAGCATTCGCAGCTTCTGGAGGCAAGTTGTTCCACTGATTAATTGTTCTAACTGTCAGGAAATTTCTCCCTAGTTCTAGGTTGCTTTTCTCTTTGGTTAGTTTCCATCTGTTGCTTCTTGTCTTGCCTTCAGGTGCTTTGGAGAATAGAACTGGAATTGGAATTCCAGCAACCATTCCTTATATGTTTTAGCCTCCAGTCCCCTAATCATATTTGTTCCTCTTCTCTGTACTCTTTCTACATATGAAGAACAGTTCCAGGAATTGGGTATGTCTAGTTTAATGAAAAGAAGTACTAGGGTGACATGATAGCACTGTCCCAATATCTAAGGTGCTGCCCCCAAAATGAGGGAGGCAGCCTATTCTTCAAATCACCTGAAGGTGGGACAAGAAGCAATGGATAGAAATTAGTCAAGAAAAGAACCAACCTAGAACTAAGGAGAAATTTCCTGGCAGTTGGGACAATTAATCAGTGGAATGACTTGCCTCCAGAAGTTGTGGGTGCTCCAATGCTGATGGTTTTTAAGACAAGATTAGACAACCATTTGTCTGAAATGGTATAGGGTTTCCTGCTTGAACAGGGGGTTGGACTAGAAGAACTCTAAAGTCCCTTCCAACTCTGTTAATCTGTTAACCTGCCAAAAATTTACAAGAGTATGTTTGTTTGAGTGGGTGGGTGGGTGGGTGTACACATGCATACGCATGCAGAGAGAAAGAGATAGATAGGCAGACAGACATTGTGAATACCAACTTGGTATAGTGGTTAAAATATCAGGCTAGCAACCTGTAAGTTCTAGTTCTGTCTTGGACATTAAGTCAATTGGGTGACCTTGGGCCAGTCACTTTCTCTCAGCCCCAGGAAGGAGGCAATGACAAATCATTTCAGAAAAATCTTGCCAAGAAAACTGCAAGAGAATGTCTAGGCAGTCTCCAAGAATGAATGGAAGAATATTATTATATATGAATTCTTTTGTTTTACACACACACACACACACACACACACACACAAAACACACGTGTGTGTGCACATGCACACACATACACACCAAACTGAGAAGAGGGAAAATGGACAATTTAAAACCCACACACATATACTCCTACATATTCTGCAAAATATGTACATAATAATGTTTAAATGTATTTTGAAAAGTGATACTAAAAGAATTAAACCCCAATCAATGAAGTTCCTCTAAGATAAGTGCCAGCCTTTCAGGGAAATTGGAAGATGACAGAGAATCCTGAGATAAGTGCATCTATTTATAGCAGCAGCATCCCTCACTTGACCTTAGAAGTAATATCTTACCAGGATGAGCATTCTGGTTTGAAGCAGAAGTATGAAATATGCATATGTAATATAAGCATATGAATGCATATTGTATGAAATATAAGCAAACAAGTAAATAATCCTCAGCATTTAGAATATATTAAATGCTTTATATACATTAATTCAGAAATTATGGTACTGCAAAACAGTGTTCCCAGTGCTATAGATTAGGTAAGAGTAGAACAAGGCTGATATAAGGGCCTGCCTAAATTCTGTTTATGAGTTTGCATACGTCGGCAGTTGGGCTAAGGTCTGAAGCACAGGTTTCACACAACTGCACACAGGTAGTCCTTGATTTATGACCATTTGTTCAGCAAATTACTATGACATTAATGAAGGGATTTTTGAACCCTGACTGAAATTATTGTACACTGAACCACCTCTGGGGTCACAGTTTTAATCTAGCTGCTTAAAAACTCACTGACATTTATAATTGGTTGCCAAGTGTCCCAGAATAATGTGATTGCCACTTACAATCTTTCTTGCCAGTTCTCCAGAAAGTTAATGCAGGGAAGACTGAAAAGTCACTGCTTCCTGTCCAAAAGATTCCTTCTAGTGTCTGGGGGCTGGTTGAAAAAGATCCATGCTGAAATCCAAGCAGGATTTTCAGCCACAAAGGATTTTTAAACCAGAGTGTAAAAATTTCTGAAATCTTTCATCTCTGGGGCTGAAAATCCACTGTGGATGAAATCCAAGCAGGATTTTCAGCCCTAGAGGATTTTCAGTTCCAGAGTGCAGAGCCCAAGCAATTTTTCAGCCTCTTGACCTTGGAGCTAATCTATTTAATACTGTATAACAACATCTGCAATCAAACCCAACTGTGAATTGATTCTAATAATGTGAATATTTTTTCATAACACTGTCCAATCTCTATTCAGAAGAAGTAGACTTACTTTTTAGCAGAAAATGAAATTTCAAAACCATCTTGTTTCCTTTTAATCATTTCCTTTTATCTTAAGAGAAACTTACTGAAGTCCATGGCAGGTGGACAGAGCAACAAATGAATCTGGATTCCCTCTGATGTGACCTTGATAATAACAGTGTTCTCCTCCCTGCAATTAGAACAAAGACTATGAATTTATTTTATTTCCACCATGTCACAAAGATGGTTCTCAGTCAAACTACAGAATAAGTGGTAAAGTCAGATAAGCTGAAATAAATGGGTGAATGATACAGCAATATCTACCTGGCCCTTCCTATGTATACTAATCAAAGGGTGGGCCCAAACTAAGTAATTGCCTTTTGGGGGGGAGAGGAACTTACCGGTACTCTTGCTTAGATTGCTGACCTCTAATTGAAGAAGACAGAAAGGACAGAAAACACAGGCACTAGTTCTGCTCTGTTCTTTCTTTCTTTTTTTGCTTTTATTTATTAATCAGATTATTCACCATCCATCTCACTAAGTAACTCTGAGTGGTTTACAAGTAATAAATCTACAGATACATAGCTTTATGTCAGTCTATCCTAGACTATTTTTAATAGAATATTGTCAATGGATCTAATGAAAGAATTAAAGAATTCTTCTATGTAGGTTTTATTTCCACATACTATTTTTCACAAAAGATTATAAAATTTTACAATAAATGTTTGCTACTAAATTGAGACAGGAAATAGTTCTGCTTATCTTCAAGACAAATAGATCCTAAGTTGAATACGGTCAATGGATTTCACAACTTAGCTCCACTGAATATGTATTTATTTTGAAAGTTCATATGCTCTATCACCATATATGGTTTAAACTAGCATTTTTCAAACTTGGCAACTTTAGAATCAGTAGGCTTCAACCTCCCAGCAAGCTAAGGCTTAAAGTCAACACATCTTCAAGTTGCCAAGTTTGAAAAACACTGATTTAAATACTTTTTGCCTGCTTGCAAGTAATGACTTTTCAAAGCAACATTCTCTAGCACAATCTTTGCTTATAATTCAAAAATTCATTTATCAAATCAGCTTTGCAGACATGTGCAATTTTTCAACAATTTTTTTTCAGATAACAAAAACTATCCTACAGAAGTGAAACCCATTGTTATAATATAAATATGTTAACTTTGGTTTGAAATACATTAACTTTGTCACTAGTTAAGTCATTTATTGGATGTAAATACACAGAAATATAAGCAAACCTTAAATGAATCAATATTGTTACCAAAGTATTCATAAAAGTTAACTAAATGCATTTAAAAAGCTCGCTTTCCAAGTTAGGTCTTTCTGTCCTAAAAACCTTACTTCCACATGGAAGTAAAATGTCACTTTCCATAAATTGTCCTTTAACAATTTATTATCCCAAGGAAAGCAGAGGCAGTCAGTGACATCATTTGGTAGTCACAATGATGCCGTAACCTAGCCAAGCTAATGAGTTGTCTGATATTTCTGAAATACCAACAGATGATTAACCTTTTTGTCTCTTAGCAAGCAGCCATTGCAAAGGAGCTGGGTTGAGAATGCATTGTTCTCAGCATGTAGGTAAATTTTATTACCAATTATTAAAACATCACAAATTTCAATTGGCAAAAAGATAATGCAATTTTCTTAAGCTGCACTGAGGCAAAGGTTACTAGTACATTGAGAAAAGAGGAAAAAACAAAAATCATGTGTGTATGGCCTAAAAACTCGGCACATTAGGGAAATATTATTCCACTCCAGTCAAACTTCAAAACACATCTTGAAGAATGTAGAAATGTAGAAAGAGGTGACTTATAGAAACAACCTTTAAAAAATCAGAAAAATGTTTCTTAATTGTTGGCTGGCATCAAAAGAGAAAGTAAATAGGGCTGTGTTCTGCTGAGCAGCTAGTTAGCCATGTTTACTAACTAGCCCTATTTTTTTTCTCTTTTTCTATTGATTTTTTTCATTGGGTATAATTTGAGACATATTTAAGATTGAGACGGATGAATGGGAATTTATGTCCTTGCCCAGTAAATAAGATCAAGAAAAGATGCCATTTGATAAATATATACTTGTTGAAGTTATTTTGTGGCAATCAAAAAGGGAATGTTCAAAATGTGTGTGTGTCATTACAGAATTCTATTCCCTTCCAATTACAGATGGTGCAAGAATTTATTAATTGTTTATGCTGGATGACAACCTACTAATTTACCTGGTCTTTTGGCTGAATGTATGCTACTGTTTGGTGCCTTGTTTTATAATACAGTTCCATGGTTCTAACTTTTGTAATTATGTTATTACAAAATTACATAACTGAATACATTTTTAACAATAAGACAAGTAGATCTCTGAGACATACACATATAATCACAGATATCTACACCATATATTTCAGGTATTTTGAATGAGAAGAAGATATGTAGGGAACTGCAACGATTGAATGAGATATGCATTGGTTTTTATTTGGAAAGTCATATAGTTTTTACCAAAAGCATAATATATAAATCATTATTCTAAATATCAGATCTGAAAACAAGGTATAGTCGGCTGAAATCATGGAAACAATGCAAATACTGCAACTCTAGAAAAATCTCCTTAATGACAAGGGAGTGCTGTGCTATTGGTACAATGTTTTATGCATTCAGCTGCAGGGCATGGAAAGATGGCTTTCTGACATCTGGCAAGAGAGATAGGAGAGCATTTGCTCATAAAGCTGTTCCTCGATTGCTTTGCTTAAGAGCAAAGAAACTGGCTTTGAATAGCACCTACAAAAAGGGAAGAAAATTGTGGACTTTTTTCTTGCCTTCGTGATTCTAAACAAATCATAATAATTACTAGCCAGAAATGCAAACTCTAAGGCAGAATTCTTGATTTAATTTACTCTCTCAACTCTCTGACATAAGTCATATGCACAAATGTGAACCCGTTTAGATCAAAACGTATTATAGGCAAACATGTATACCCCAACAGGATGTTCTCTGAATTTGTTACAACTTTAAGGAAATGCCAGGTTGAAAACCCTTCTAACCAAATACAATGATTTTCTTTTTCAAAAAACAGTCCTGGGTATGGCCTAGTTGAAAATAAAAGAACTGAAAGTTGCTTCATCTTTTTTCTAAGCCACTTCTATTCTCCAACTTTTGTAAATTCAGAAGTTAATCTTCTGCTTTTGGTATAGAACAAAACTGAAAGAAAAAAAATAAAGGGTAGAATTATAGGAGAAAAGAAGGGCTAAGGGGATCACAAAAGGATTAAGCATATTCATATTAATTCATCATGATGTAAATTATTCCAAGATTGCTTTTTCCCTTTAGGTCATTTGTTATATATACTAAACAACCACACTGGGAGAATTTTTGATACAACAATTGAAATTTCCATTACCCTATCCAAATTTTACAACTGTAATACAATTGTATTATAAAATAAGGCACCAAACAGTAGGGCATCTGTATCATTTCCACAATACCATTATGACACATAGAATGTCATTTGCATCCATTTATGCACTCTGGAAAGAAAAGTCTTCATCCTGGTTCATCCAAGCCAATAACATGACGACTGTTTTAGAAAGAAAGTTGCAGTTTATTGAAGAGCCAGATAGAAAGATGGTTCTGGCAGGAAAGAGGAGAGAAAAAAAAGAGTGAGCACATGTAGATAGTAGGTTTTTATACCCTGTGAAGCCTTTTGTTTGGAGTAATTTCCTGTTCCTGTTTTAGGCTTTGTATTTCCTGTGTCACGTATTCTGACCCAAGTCTGCATGTATCTTTCTGGTATTGATGGTGATGGGTTAGTCCTATTATGTCCCAAAGATCATATTCTGCTTCCCTGGTGTTGGGGCTAATGACTCCTAGAGTTTGGATGGGGTACGAAAATTTTAGGTCTTTGTCTTCTTGATCTCCTAGCTCAATGGTTCTCAACCTTCCTAATGCCACAATCCTTTAACAGTTCCTCATGTTGTGGTGACCCCCAACCATAAAATTATTTTCATTGCTACTTCATAACTGTAATTTTGCTACTGTTATGAATTGTAATGTACATATGTGATATGCAGGGTGTATTTTCATTGTTATGAATTGAACATAATTAAAGCATAGTGATTAATCACAAAAACAATATAGCAATTCTCGCTGGAGAAGCTTACTTTTCCTTGCTCAAAAATGTTGGAAGGAAGGGAAGGGGAAGGAAGAAGGAAGATTGAAGGGGAAAGGAAGGAAATGGAGAAGGAAGGAGATTGAAGGGGAAAGGAAGGAAGGAAAGAGAAAGAGATTGAAGGGGAAGGGATGGAGATGGAGATGGAAGGAAGGAAGATTGAAGGGGAAAGGAAGGAGATGGAGAAGAAAGGAGATTGAAGGGGAAGGAAGGAAGGAAGGAAGGAAGGAAGGAAGGAAGGAAGGAAGGAAGGAAGGAGAGATTGAAGGGGATAGAGATGGAGATGGAGATGGAGATGGAGGGAAGGAAGGAAGGTTGAAAGGGAAGGAGATGGATGGAGGGAGGGAAGGAAGGAAGGAAGGAAGGAAGGAAGGAAGGAAGGAAGGAAGGAAGGAAGGAAGGAAGGAAGGAAGGATGGATCTTTGGAGAGTCATGTTTTCCCAGATGGTGATGAACTGCAACTGAACTGCTTTTTAGGGCTGCTGGAGATGGTAGTCTGGCTGAGAGCCAAGCGGCAGCACCTCCAGGGCCTCGGAAGCCGCGCGGAGGATCCGCACGCCTCGAAGTCACCGGCTGCCTTCTCGCGCCCACCAACCTGGAGCCCCCCATCCTCATCCCAGCACCTCTTGCCCTCTCCCAGCCACCCCCCGGGACCTGCCCGCCCCTCCAGCCTCCTGAGTGCCATCGCAGCGATGGGGTCACGGGAGCCCCTTTCCACACTGCACAGCCCTTCACCCCCACTATCCTTTCCCGTCGCATGTGAGAGGGTGCGGCCGGAGCTCAGAAGGCGCCGCTTCTCCCCTCCCGGCCCGGCCAGCTGGACTCCGACGCACTTGCAGGCATTGCCGCCACCTTGCCCTCTTCCCCACCGCCTGGCCGCTTCTGAGGCCCGGAGCCTAGCGAGTTGGGAAGAAGCCACTCCTGGCTGCCAGTCCCAGGGCCGCGCTGGGCACCAGAGGGCCGAAGCGGCCTCAGATGGCAAGGGAGGTGGGCCAGGCAGCATGGGGGAAGCTCTGGC